TCTCGTACCAGCCCACGCAAACAGTCGCAGTAACGTTTGCCTCTACTCAGTTGCCAGAATACGTATATCTAGACCATTGGAGACACGAGGTCAGTCCATACGTTCCACCTGTTAAGCAGTGCCTACGTTGCATGCGTTTCGGTCACATTGCTAAGTTTTGTCGCAATAATGAAGTCTGTTCAATTTGTTCGACAAATCATAATTATAAATCTTGTACTGTTGATATAGAAAATGCAAAGTGCACTAACTGTGGAGGTAATCACGTAGCCATCTCATCCTCTTGTCCAATTAAAAAGCAACAGATCGAAGACAACAAAATTAAAAGTAGAGCTGTGCAGTATTCAGAACTGTTTAATGAAAAATCATTTCCCAAACTTGCCGAAAAATCGATAGAAACACATTTAAATAATTTATCAAAATCAGACTTATTTATGAATTTATTAGTAGAAACAATAATGAATATAGTATCTAATAAGAATGTACCTATAAATAGTAATACTATAAAAGAAAATTTACATAATACATTCAGAAAAATACCTTCCAAAAATAAAAATGGCTAACTTAAATATTGTACAATGGAATGCTCAGAGTTTAGTAAGCAGTAGGCTCATATTTACAAATTTTCTTTATGAACACAACATTCATTTAGCATTAATATCAGAAACTTGGCTAAGACCGAATCAACAATTCAAAATAAAAGGTTACAACATAGAAAGAAATGATTCTGATAATATACATAATGGAGTTGCAATATTAATTCGCAATAACATTGTTTATACTAAAATCAATACAAATTTTGATAATACTTTGCAAAATATTTGTATTCGTATTACAATAAGAAATAAAGATATATCAATTGTTAGCTTTTACAGTCCTCCAAATACTAATCCTGCCTTTAGTAAAAGCAAATTAGATTCTCTTATAAAATCTATCCCTGGTCCGATGATTTTTGCAGGTGATTTTAATGGTCATCACTCTTCTTGGGGCTGTAATTCCACAAATCCTCGTGGTCGAGATATTCTGGATATCATTGATGAAAATAACTTGATTCTTCTTAATGATGGGCAACCAACCACAGTTGGCTCTTTAACTTGGCGGCCCAATGCTCTAGATTTGACCATAGTTAGTCCTTCTTTGGCTTTATCTTGTGAATGGTCTGTTCATGATGATCCTCTCGGCAGTTATCATCTACCTGTAAAAACAAATATTAGTCTCAATGTCAACAACCAACAAGATTGTAATAACAATAATGTCATGGATGATAAGGTCACTTTTCCAATATTCAAAAATTTTAAACTGGTTGATTGGAAAATGTATCAATGTAAAGTTGAAAGTCTTTTATCTGAGTTTTGTGTTCAATCATACACCCCATTGGAGGCTTAAACACTATTTTGTGAAATTCTTTATTCAGCCACAGAGTCTTTAACCCCTACCAAATCAAAATCCAACTCTACCAACAGAAAAACTGGCAAAAGACTCTCATTACCTTGGTGGAATAATAATTGTTCAGTTGCTGTGAGTAATTCTAAACAAGCATATATTACATTTAAAAATAATCCATCAGAAACAACCTATTTGGAATTTAAAAGGTTGCAAGCTTTAAAAAAACTCACCCTTAAAACTGAAAGATCAAAAAGCTGGGCTGATTTGTGTAGTTCATTCAATCGTTGTACCCCTCTTACTGTAATCTGGAAATATATGCGTAAATTCAATAAATCTTTTATTTTAAGTCATCCAGACTGTGACAGCTGGGTTTTACCTTTTCTTAAGAAATATACTCCTGATTATGTACCTACTCATCAGGACTGTTCCTACAATAGATCTCAATCAAATTCCACCAACCTCTTTTTAATAAAACCATTTACAATAACAGAATTGAAAAACGCAGTCTCCTCCAGAAGAGAAAGTGCATTTGGATTGGATGGTATCCCTTATAAAATGTTGAAAACTCTTAGTGATTCTAGTTTGCAGATATTTTTGAAGGTTTTAAATCATCTTTGGGAAAACAATGACATACCACCTTGTTGGAAAATAGATTGCTTGGTTCCTATTTTAAAGCCTAATAAGCCTAAATTGGATAAAGATTCTTATCGCCCTATTGCACTAACTTCATGTGTAGGAAAAATTTTTGAACAACTACTAAAGCAAAGATTGGAGTTCTATGTGGAAAAAAATGGCATTTTACCTTCGAATCAGTTTGGATTTAGAAGAGGTCGCTCATCTCGTGAAAGTATCTGCCAATTACAACTTGACATCCAAAATTGTCTAGTAAAAAATCAAACTATGGTGTCTGTATTCTTTGATGTTGCGGGAGCTTTTAACAGTGTCAATGTTGATGTGCTTTCTAATGAGTTAACTTCAGTGGGTATACCACCAAAACTTGTTCATTGGGTCCAAAAGTTCTTGTCTGAAAGAAAAGTTTTTGTTAAGAATAATGGTTACCTATATGGCCCACGGTTGGCTTCTGTTGGTGTCTGTCAGGGAGGAATTTTATCTCCTCTTGTTTTTATATTATATATCCGACGTCTCAACTTAATTCTGGGTGGACATGTCAAAAATTTACAGTTTGCTGATGACTTGGTAGTATATGCTTCCGATCATAAAATTACAAATTTAGTAAATAAAATTAATAGTGCCTTATTTAATCTTAATCAATATTTTACATACTTAAATCTTGATATTAACCCATTAAAATCAAAACTGCTTGTATTTGGGAAAAATAGATCTTTGATGCCTACTGTTTACTATAACAATGTTGCTATTCCAGTTTCATTAGACACAAAGTTTTTGGGTGTTTTAATAACTCACAACTTATCTTGGAAAAAATATATTGAACACATAACAACTAGGGCTAACAAAGCTTTAAACATATTAAAATCTTTAGTTTCTACATATTGGGGAGCTGATCCTAAGATCTTGTTGTTACTGTATAAGTCTTTGATTCGCAGCCATTTTGAGTATGCTTTTTTTTGTTTTGCTCATGACAACAAAATTGTAGATATCCTAGACAAAATTCAAAATAAAAGTATGCGTTTGATAACTGGTGCTTTCAAAAGCACTCCCATTAATGTTATGCAAATTGAGTGTAATCTTTCTCCCATTTCAATAAGATTTAGTTACTTAAAGGAAAGATTCCTTTTGAAGCTATTCTCAATAAACAATAATCAACTTTTAAAAAATATTTCATATTTATCACAATCACTGGCAGGTAGGCCTTTGTATATCATGCAAGGATTTCCTCAGTTCACTCAGTTTCTCGAAAATTCCAACATTTATAAGCCTTCAATCTTACCATGCTATGAAGGGCATTTTGAGAGCAAATTTCCATCAATTGACATAAATATCTACAAGGAGCTTTCTACTAAAGAGGAGGTGTTTGGTGAACTATCAAATTGGGTTGATCATAAACATATTTATACAGATGGCTCAAAAAATGATTCAAGTGCATCTTTTTCTTTTTACGTTAGCTCTATAAAATCTGGTTTAGGTTACAAGATAGACAAAAATTCCTCTGTATTCACTGCAGAAGCTCTAGCAATTTTGGCTGCTCTGAAACACATAAAACATCAAAATCAAGGACATAAAAAATGGCTAATACTTAGTGATAGCATGAGTGTGCTCAAAAACTTAGAAAACAATAAATTAAGTGCAAACACCAATTACATTATTCATGCTATTAAAGAAGTCTGGTATGATCTATACAATGGTTCCGTCTCACATTGGTGTAACAGGTAATGAAAATGCAGATTATCTAGCAAAATCTATCAATACTCTAGCTACTGAAACCAATACTCAGAAGATGTCTATACCTTATACAGATTTGATTGTTCTGCTAAAGGAAAGAATGCACCAAGAGTGGCGAGCCCATTGGAATTGTATAGTACAGGTTAAAGGTAAAGGTCTATGGTACACACCTCTTTATGTTGATGTAAACAAATTGCCATGGTTCTGCAAATCAAATAGCTTTTTGAATAGAAAATTCTATACGACGATTTTTCGCTTAAGGTTTGGTCATTGTCGGCTTAATTTCCATCTCTTTCGGTTGCAAATGGTGAATAATGCTCAATGTACTCATTGCAATTCCCAAGAAGAAACCCTAGCTCACATTTTCTTTGACTGCCCATCCTTCGGCATTCAGCGCCTTGTGTTGTTGGATGAGCTAATCCAAATTTATGGCAAACATGATTTGGTCCCGCGTTCCTTGACCGATCTTCTTGTAAATAATTGTACATACGTTCCTCTGTATAATTTCATTGCAAACACTGTTGAAGAAATATAAATATTCTGTAATATCGTTGTGTATTAGATTTTAAGGTTAAATGTTCTGCATACACAAAACGCTCAGTTAAGTTTAATAGGTACCGCATGTTCTCTTTCCTTTTATTTGTTTGAAAAAAATGTTTATTTTCGTAATTTTGCTTGTAGGTATTCTTTTTCGTTTAGGTCGTCGGTTTGAAACAAGTTTGAAACGTATCAAATGTCGTTGTTTTAAGTTTGTTTTTTCTTTTCTTAAGTTTTGTATTAGGATTAAGGTATTGCATGGTATTGGTCTATGATTTATTTTTTGTGTAAATGTGTACTATAAAAAAGATATTAAATAAATATGAAATTCATATAGGATGTAATTAATTCATGATTGGACTGTCTAGTAAGAGAAAAAATTAAATGTTTGGTGTTTAAGATGTTCAATGTGCTCGGAAAAAAGCACATAATAATAGAGTAAAACAAAAAACTAGAAAATATACCGGAAATTATCAAACTGAGGAAGTTATATTGAATTTTAATAATAAAAAGAAGAAAAATAACTAATGACGAGGCAGTATGGTCCCAGACCTTAGCCTGTCCGAAAGGACAAACGAAAAAAAAAAAAAAAAAAAAAATTAAAAATATAGTGATAAAAAGGTAAAAAAAACATTTTCATTATTGACTCTTGAATGTTGTAAATCTTGTATATGAATGAATTGGTACTTAGTTATGTATTGATTTTTCAGGATTTGATAATGGCCATCAATGCTTTATTCCGGCGTTCTTTAATTAATGGCACTTTGTATTCTGCTGCGGCACTACGTTTTGCTTCTACTCAACCCGAAAAGAAAGTGTTCTTCGATGTATCCGCTGACGGAGAACCTCTTGGACGTATTGTTATGAAACTGAATTCAGACTTGGTGCCTAAGACAGCTGAAAACTTTCGGGCATTATGCACAGGAGAAAAAGGATTTGGGTATAAAGGCTCATCTTTTCATAGAATCATACCAAATTTCATGTGCCAAGGTGGTGATTTTACTAACCACAATGGGACCGGTGGTAAATCCATTTATGGGCGTACTTTCCAGGACGAAAATTTCAAATTGAAGCATACTGGCCCTGGAATTTTGTCAATGGCAAATGCTGGTCCGAATACTAATGGTTCTCAGTTTTTCATCACGACTGTAGCAACACCTTGGCTAGATAAAAAACATGTGGTTTTTGGAGAAGTTGTTGAAGGTATGGATGTTGTGAAAAAAATGGAAAGTTTGGGTTCCCGTAATGGAAATCCGTCTAAGACAGTTGTAATATCTGAATGTGGTGAGTTAGATTGAATTTTTATACAGTAATGTTATTGTAGTTATTATAATTATAGTAAATAAATATTACATTAGTTACCTCATTTAGTTGTTTGCATTAAATTTCTCCCTTGAAACTAACCAAATGATTAATTGTATTAATGATTAACAGCTGTACTTAGAGAGGTCAAACAACTTTTGAGTTTGATTATAAATATATCCTCTTCCCCCAGGACCTCGATAGCGAGTAGACGTCTCTCAAACCGCATCGCGTATTTTTATATTTGTTTACCAAATTAATTCTAAAATTTCATTACAAAATAATCAGTGTCAAAAATAGGAGTGCATAGGTAACGAGGAGCTCCTTTTAACATCTGAACGTGACCGCCAACGGTGTGAACAAGAGGCCACGAGTACTACTACACCACCACTTCTCAACCAGCAACGCCCGCATTCTCAGCCCCGCCCATCACGACCAACACCAGCGCAGTTACAGCCCACGTTTACATCTTAGCGCTCCGCCTGTGCCACTGCTGACCAACAACAAAGAAGAGGGGCCGAGCTTATTTCTATTACACATCGGTGAGTGCCTAAGCTTGCTCCATTAAGTCTACGAGCTCCTAGTACCACGTTACTTGTGATTCTTTACAAAACTAAGCTTGCATTGTTTTAATTATTATTGCTGGTGCACAGCGCTTATTGCTTATTGCTATTGCAAACTCGCAACAATTCATTGGTTCCTGGTAATACAGATAGTTCATACTTCCTACATAAAGATAAGTCTACGTTCACTCAGCCTTACACACTATCCTCAGTCGGTTTATCCGTCCCTAGTTACAAGAAGACAAATACAATGAGTACTCTGGATAAATCTATGTCGGACACAGAGATAACTAAAATTACACGGTCGGTCAATATCACCCCACCGAAAACTTCGAGTAATTTGACTGCTCGCTTGAAAAGAAAGAGGGGATACGATGTGACTGATGAACTAGAGAAGTTTAAAGACGAATTAAGGGACATGTTTAATAATATGATAAAAACACATGAACAGGAGTTTAAAAATAATGCCACTATTTTGAAGGAAATACAAAAAACAAATGAAGAATTTAAGAAACAAATTGAGAGACTTGAAGATGCTCGGAGGGAGGATAGGAAGTACATAACACTATTGGAGGATAGATTAGAAAATTTACAACAGGACAGCCGCAAGGCCAATTTTGAAATAAAGAATGCACCTAAAAAAACTGATGAAACAAAAACCGACTTAATAGATATGGTACTTTGCTTGGGAAAAACAATTGGCTGTCAAGTAAGCAGTAGTGATATTAAAGATGTGTATAGAGTACGTGCAAAAAAAGATAATATCGTGAATCCATCAATTGTCATAGAAACCACCTCAACTCTCTTGAAAAACGAAATTATAAAGAAAAGTAAAGCAAATAAATATAAAAATAAGGCTAAATTATGTGCAAGGGATATAGGACTAAAGTTTTCTGAGAATAATCCAGTATTTATCAGTGAGCAGCTAACCGCTAAAGCTGCGCGTCTACATTTCCTGGCGCGTGACCTTGTGAAGTCAAAAGAATTTAAATACTGCTGGACTGCATACGGTAGAGTATACCTACGAAGAGAGGATAACTCCCAAATCTATTTAATAAAAAATGAAGCTCAAATACAAGAACTACTTGTAAAGAAATGACTAGCATTTATGAATGGCAAATCATTTGTATATTGTTTAAGTCCAATTTTTACAGAATGTTACAATATTTTAAAGAAGCATAGTTGTAGTAATTTAGTGTTGTATTCGATTTGTTTTCGTTTTTGTAGTTTTTATTTTAATATTTTTTTATTTTTAAGTAGTAATAACAATTTCTCAAACATAATTTTTACAGTCTTGGTTGATAATATACACTTATGTAACAATAGTATTAATTTTCATAATTTACCACAAAGAAAGCGCTCAATGTTAATGTTAATAAAATTATTTTTATTGGTATGTACACACTTGGCAAACAGTATATACACACACATACACACACATATGACTTCACTCTCTCAAACATACACCATAAGAATCAGGTTTTGCTGCAAGTTAAATAAAAACAGTATAATATTATATAGGTATATAAAATATTTTTATAAAAGGCATACCACAATTAAGTCCTTGAATAAAAACTCATATCACCAATGCACTGATGCTAATAAAGTTCCCACAAATGATTGCATCCCTTGATGTATTAAGTGACATAGATAAAACTTCAGTTGCGATTTCTGCGAGGTGTGGCGTTCAGAATCTCACTAATGTAGTTAATATTAAGAAATCAGATCTAACGATAATCAGTCAAAACATAAGAAGCGTATATAGCAACCTTGATGATTTTCTGGTTACATTGGTAGAACTTAATGTTAGTATTGATGTCCTTATTTTTACAGAGTGCAGACTTGACGCTTGTAAGCCAATTCCACAACTACCAAACTACGTAGCTGTAGCCACTGTTAATAACCGTAACCAAAACGATGGTGTAGTTGCGTATGTGAAGAACAGTTTATCTGCTGAAATTAAGGAAGTGATATTAGAGCAAGCATCTTGTATTCAGATAAACATCTTTGATTATGTTATCTTAGGCATTTACCGCTCTCCGTCTCAACATAATGCCTCCAAATTTGTGAATTCCTTAAGTTTGCATTTGCAAGGGTTAAATTCATCTGCTCATATTGTTGTGACTGGGGACATAAATATTAATCTCATACCTAAGCCAAACGCGAACTCAGACGAACTTAATAATAGAATCAATTATCTTAACATGCTTTCTACACATGGTTTGCTTCCGGGTCATACACTTCCTACCAGAGGAAACAGCTGCCTAGATCATGTCATTTTAAAAACAAATAAAAGCAAACTTGCTGCGAATGTTGTTGTGCTCGAAACATCAATTACAGATCATTCTACAATATTCATAAGCTTAACTAAACTTAAAAATATCAAAGAATATCCGAAATCTATCGAAGTTATTGATTATGATAAAGTCTATAACAATATTCTACAAAGTAATTTAGAAACTCTGCTTACATGTAATGATCCCAATGTGGTATTAGAACAGTTGACTAGTAAGCTCAAAAAAGCACTTAATGAGGCTAAGCACATTAAGAAAATTCCTAAAAACCAGAGAAGTATAAAACCGTGGATCACAACTGTTGTGCTACGCTGTATTAGAAATAGAAACAATATGCAACTTAAACTGAGAACTGACCCCAACAATAAGGTTCTGAGAGTCACATTCGCGAGATATCGTAACTTTTGCAATAAACTCATAAAAAAACTAAAACGAAAATATGAAAGGAACCTTTTAGCTAATGCTACTAAAGATAATAAAGCTTTGTGGAAAACAATAAAGACGGTAGCACATCTTAAAAATAGTAAAACCCATAATCAGGATTTACTTCATATCAAGCCATCTCCTACGGAATCTGTTAATTACGTTAATAGCTTCTTTGCAAACATCGGTAGAGACTTGGCAAATAATATAATTACACAAAAAACTAGTAGACAGACTAGCGATGACCAAAAAATTAAAACTAAGCTGACATCTCAAGGGTGCTCCTTTGTTCTTTTAGATACAGATCCTTCTGAGGTTGGTAGTGTAATCATGGCATTAAAAACAGATAGTGCCCCTGGCTGGGACAATATTCCGAATAAATATGAATAGTCTGTTGAAAATGTGTGTGACCCAAATAGCTCCCATCATAAGTCACATGGCTAATCTCATTTTCAATACAGGTATTTTTCCAGCTCAGTTAAAAAAAAGCCTTGTTACGCCGGTGTATAAAGGTGGAAAAAAATGTCAATAACTACAGGCCAATTTCAGTTCTTCCCTCCATAGCAAAAATTGTTGAAAAACTCATTAATTCACGTCTAATAAATTATTTGAATAAAAAAAATTTACTATCTAGCTGTCAATTTGGTTTTAGACAAAAAACATCTACTGAGGATGCCATTGGCTCTCTTATGTCCCTTATAACTAAACAGTTAGACATGGGTAAGAAATGTCTTACAGTATTCTTAGACCTAAAAAAGGCTTTTGACACCGTCTCCTTGCCGATACTGATACAAAAGCTTCAAGCTATTGGCGTAAGAGAGCTTCAACTAGATCTTATGAAGAGCTACTTACAGGGGCGCACGCAAAGAGTTAAATTGGGTTATTGCTGTAGTGAGGAATGTGAGGTAACCTATGGCGTTCCGCAAGGAAGCGTATTAGGACCGACTCTCTTCCTTATTCATATTAACGACCTTACTAACATGGACGTAGAGGGTGCTAAGATCTTCTCATATGCTGATGACACTGCTATTGTGTTCACTGATGACTCATGGGATGCTGTTTTCCGGAGGGCTGAATCAGGACTGGCTCTAATCTTTAAATGGCTTAATAATAATTTGCTAACACTTAACGTTAGTAAAACTAACTACATATGTTTCACAATAAATAAAAGAACACAGCCTAATCAAAACCTCTCATTAAAAATTCATCAGTCTTGCGATGCCATCTGCCGTTGTGTACCTCTGGAAAGGGTTGTCTCTACTAAATACTTGGGATTAATACTTGACCAACATCTGTCATGGCACAGCCAGATCGAGTTTGTGACTGAGAGACTTAGAAAATTAACATGGGTATTCAAAACTCTACGTCATATTGCAACACGTCATCTTCTTAATAGAATATATGTCTCACTAGCTCAATCTGTTTTGACATACTGCATCTCGATATGGGGAGGTGGTGCAAAGACTAAGTTTCTAGAAGTAGAAAGAGGTCAACGGTGTTTACTAAAAGTAATGTATTTTAAGCCTTATAGATTTTCGACAAAGGAACTTTATGAAATAGCCAATTTACCGACTGTACGTCAACTTTACATACTGATTGCAATTTTAAAACGTCATAAATACTTACCATATGAACCTAAGCTAACTCAAAGAAGAAGAAAATGCATAAAAATCTCACAGCATAACACAGCCTTTATGTATATCTAATCTTAATATGTATGATTGTAAAAAAAATGGTTGCCTGTAAAGTCGGTTTTACGGGCGAAGATTTTACGTGACAACGTCTTTTTCTCGGTAGAATATTTATTGATATGAATATAATTAAATTGCACAATAGGAACAAGGAATTGAATGAAAATAAGAATTGCACAAATTTTAACTATAGAAATATATTTTGTTTACTAAAACATTGTACATGTAAACTTAAACTTAACACGAGAGACTCATCGTAACGTTACCGAGCGTTACACTTTTTCATAAGTGACTCCCAGCCGCAACCTAATTTAAGACGTTGTCACGTCAAAAATGTATTTACTTGGTTAAAAACTAAGAACTATAATGATACTGAAAACTTGCTTCAAAATTTATAATAATCGATCACACACACACACACACACACACACACACACACACACACACACACAAACGCACACTCACTTATTCACACCCACACACAAACGCAGACATAACAGATATATTGAATACATTAGACTAAACA